AAAACGAGTTCACCTAGGAGTCCTGTGGTCACTCTCAAACAGTGACCTCTCGGAACTGCTTCGCCATTTCCTTTTCATTTGCTCCTGACGCTGCCGGCATCACTGCGTCATGGTTGCTTTCTGCTTCTGTGATCATCTTCCTTCTTCCACGATGCTTTTATCAATTATCAGTTTGGAGTCACAGTGATCTTAAGAAGCCTCAGTGTGGGCTGTAGCCCCCCTCTCCCTCCCTCTCCCTCCCTCTCTCTGTCCCCCAGGCAGGCACGCTTTCTCCATGGAAAGGGCTACTGGATGCAGAGGAACCCCTTTACCATATGCAACTGTTGCAATCTCACCAACTGGGGGATGCCAATTATAACAAAAGGAATTCAACCGACCATTGTCCTGATGGAGGAGCACTCCTCCAGTGATCATTCACGCGAGTCCAGGACGCAGAGGTTCTGACTCATGCACTGTAACAAACGGATTTTGCATAAGAAGCAAACCAAAAGGAGCTGCCAGCCTTACTAAATATAAGTGGTTTCCTTTCTTGCTGTGATCCCTCAGCTGAATACGTCTCAAAACTTTCTTCTGGAGCACTGAAGCTTTCCTTCCTCCATGCAATTTTTTCTTTTGTTATTAAGATGGCTTTGCATGGTTTCAGCTCCCCCAGTCACTTCTATGGCTTCACACTCCCGGGCAAAGCAAGGGTGGCCCGTCCCTAGAGGTCTGAGCCACCGCGGGGAGGAGATGCAGTTTTCCCCCTTCCTTTGTGAAATCTCTGCAACCACTTGGGGCCAACAGAGGCCAGACGTTGGGAACACAGGGCAAAATGCTAAAGGATGCTTTGGCTCAAGGTCAGGAGTTCGAAACCAGCCTGAGCAAGAGCGAGACCCTGTCTCTACTATAAATAGAAAGAAATTAATTGGCCAACTAATATATATAGAAAAAATTAGCCGGGCATGGTGGTGCATGCCTGTAGTCCCAGCTACTTGGGAGGCTGAGGCAGGAGGATTGCTTGAGCCCAGGAGTTTGAGGTTGCTGTGAGCTAGGCTGATGCCATGGCACTCACTCTAGCCTGGGCAACGAAGTGAGACTTTGTCTCAAAAAAAAATAAATAAATAAAATAAAGGATGCTTTGGGACAAATACTTTCCCTTCTCTTCCTTCGTCCAGAGAAGGCATCCACTCGACATCACGGAGTGATGCCTAGTGTGGAAAACATGGCTGTCGGTGGACAGGAGGGACAGTCCCCTTAGGCGGGGCCAGTGGGGGTCATGGGCGATGGTGTCTGTCTCGCAGGGAAGGGACTAAGACTTCAGTCAGGGACGTCCCCCGCACCCAACAGCTGGGGACAGGCGGTGGCTCACAGCCTCCCTCCACACCTGCCCGCAGCGTGAGATCGGGGCCCCTCCCCTGTGCCCCCCACCTCGGTCATTCTTGGGTCGCTCTTCCCCACCCACCATGTTGGTCTGGTTGCGTTATTCCCTGCCTGCCCACCCCCCACCAGCCTGTGAGCTGACCATGGTGGGAGCACGTGCCCTTCTCCTCGGGACATTCGGGCCCTGCCCAGAGCCTGGCTCAGCAAAGACAAATGCAAATGTGAGTCCCCTCCCCCGGCCACATCCAGGCATCTGGCACGGTGGCCACGACCTTCACTGCTGACGGCTTTGCACGCTGGTGAATGTGCCTCGTTTCGATAATCTGCTCTGAGCAATGATCTTTTATTTCCTGGCCTGGGAGACACCACAGTCCTGTCCCTGGGAATTGCCCTGAGTGACAGCGGCGAGAGGCTGGCACCAGGCCTGGAGGAGCAAAAGGGCTGGGGAGGAATGCCACTGACAGCCGGAGGACCCGTGGGTCCTTGTGTCCCTTGTCCCTTGCGTACTGGCTGCTTGAGGACACTTCTTTTCCAAACTCCACTGGTTTGCTTTTTCCTAGACAGTCATGCACTGGGCAGCCCCTACATTTCCAGCAGCCATCAGGTCTCCCTCTGCTGGTTCCACGGCTGCCGCCCACCCCTCAGGGGCTGAGGTCCAGCCACTGCCACAGACCGATGTGAGAAAGGGCAAGTTCCATCAGAGCGCGGTCCCTGCATCCACGCATCACAGATGGGTTTATTCTCTGGGTCGCCATCGACATCAGCCTCTGACCCCACTGTGTCCTTTGCCCTTGCTCTTTTAGCATCTGGGACACACACACAGCCTTGGAACCACTTCACCTCCTCCTTCACCTTCCACCCTGTTTTAGGTCCACAACCCTCTTCTTCTCATTTAACCTCCAATGAGGTCAAGGGTACCATAGGCACAGGGCAGGCTCCATCCCAGGACCCCACAGTCCCTGCTTCCTTATCTGCCTGAGCGACAAAGTTGTGCTATTATCTTTTGTAGTAGGAAGCACAGGGGAAGAGGATTCGAAATCAAAAACACCAGGAATGTCGTGATATTTCCATAGCTTATGCAGTCAGCAGGAGGCACACTTAAAATTAGTATTCTTTTGAAATAATGAAGTCTGTGTGGCCACCCTGTCTGCAGGACACTTCTATTGAGAATCTCAACATTTAAAATTAAATGTGCCTATTAGTTAAAACATACTTGGCTACAACCAGCACACCATCACAACACAGACACTGTTGCTCATGTAGCAAGATGTCTAAGGCAGGCAGTCCAGGGTGGGTGGCACAGCTCAATGGTGCCATCAGGGGACCTAGGATCCCGGGATCCGTCTGTCCTGTGTGTCTCAGCATGGTGGCTTCCCAACCTGCAGTCCGTCATCATTCAATCTTCCCACACACATTTCCAACTCAGGAAGAAGTAGCAAGCCAACTTGCTGTGTTTTCTTTTTTTAAAAGCACTGGGGGAGCAAAATTCTCCCTAGAATCACTTGCCCTTGAGCCTTGGTGGGCAGAACAGGGTCACTGGCCCATCCCTGCACCGCTCACTGGAAGAAAAGAGTGGGATTATTAAATTTGCCCTAAACCAATCATGGTTCATCCCTGGAGCTCATCTCCCCCGAGCTTGTTATCTCTAGAATAAATTTAGGAAGAAGAAAGAGATGGCTCTTAGATAGGAAATCAGTGGAGGTTTGGAAAATACACAAGATCATAGGACCACAGCCCAAACTTTTTTTAAAATCTCCATTTTTGAAGCTTTTATGCCAAGTAATTCCAAGCACATATAATTTCACTTCCAAACAAACCCCTGTATGCTTGCAGGTCATCCTGCAAAGCTATTGTTGCATTCGTATTGGATTGCTATGCTGCATCCAGACTCTTACTATAAACAAAATAAACTCAAACCCCTACCACTGCCACACAAAGCGTCCCCATTGGCCTTGGGAAACTGCCGGGCAGGGTGGCAGTAAGGAGCTCTCTTGTCTAAGCTCCTCCCACCCAAGTGCAGGCTCTCAGTTGACAAACAGAGGCTCTCATCAAGTCCTGGCTATAACGTTCCATTTGCACAAACATGCTGATAGACTTGTCCGTCTTTAGATTTCAGCAGCTGAAGACCAGCATGTATTTTTTATTCTAAAAAATTTTTTTTAATTTTATCTTTAAAAAAATGTAAATAGTTATTAGATACATCATAAAAACACTCTCTAAATACTAATCATTGAATAAATGTTTTTCTGTATTAACTTATATCCTATCCCTTTCCACAAGTGACTTGGAGAAGCTTGGAAATAAAGTCAGTCTGAATAAAGGCAGTGGGTTGTATCAATGTCAGCGTCCTGGTTGTGATTCCACACCACAGCCATGCAAGGTGGTAGCACCGGGGAATACCGGGATAATGGATCTCTCTGTGTCATTTCTTACTTTTGCATGTGAATCTACAATTATCTCAAAATAAGTAAGTTTAATTTGAAAAAATACATATAATCAAAAGCATAAAATATATCCATCATTGCCAACATTTATCATTTCTTGGTGTTGAGAATATTCAATACCTTCCTTCTACTTATTTGAAACTATGTAACACATTGCTGTAAACTACAGTCATCCCACAATGCTGTTTCCATCCTACAATGCTACAGGACACTGGAACTTACTCCTCCTCTCTAGACGAATATGCTAATTACCCTGATATGATCACCAGATATCTCAAGTATCGAAACTTCACTATGCACCCCATTATTATGTCAATTAAAAAATAATTTAAAATTTGTTTTAAAAGAATAAAATATTTAAAAAAACTGTGAGTATGTCACAGCAAAGGGGAAAGTGGGCAGCAAAATAGTAAATCCATGAGTTAGAGAAAAGCAGAGAAATCTAAGCCTGTAACTCTCTGCAGTTGCTAGCATCGGTCTGAAAGTTTGTTCTAAGCTTCCTAGTAGCCAAAGTAAAGAGGGAATAAGTTACAAGGATCAGAGTGTTCATAAGTTGTTTTTTTTTTTATAAAGCTTGGGGTAGAGGGAGGTGACTGTAGTTCTGATACTATAACCTGAGATGAATTTGTTCCTTGGATTTCTTTACAGTTACGTTGTGTAGACTCCAATGACATTCCTACAAGAGATAAAATAGAAAACTTCATAGAACAAATTTTTCAAATGTTCTTGAATATTATATAGATGATGGAATTCCATGGTATAAATTTCAGGGAATAAAAGCAATTTTCTAAGGGCCCAATAAATGTCATCAGTGGGTATGGAAGCATAGGGGTGCCATTTGACCACCTTTCTGCCTATCATTGCTTTATGGCTACTGATGTACATTTTCATCCTTACACTGGGAAATATACATTTGTCAGGAGCCGTGGCCAAAGGAGTCTCTTCACTACAGTTTTCTAGAGAATTCCTTTTAAGTGAAAATCAATTGCTTCCAGCCATCCACTTTGCCCCACCTGAATGCCATCCCCAGCACCCTTCCTGGCTGCATGGCTCCTATTACAACTTACATGAGGGACTGGGCACAACTTTTGGGGGATCTCTACAAGTGCCTGGCCAAAGGAGTCACCCCTGAGTACACACGAGAGCTGAGGGCCCACAGTGGTTCTGGGCTCACCGCCAAACTACCTCTCACCTGTGAGCAAAGGTAGAATTGGGATTTTCTTTTTAACAATTCCTGGCCAGGTGTTTCTCTTCTGGGTGTTCCTTTGCTTCCGATAGGCACAAATCCAAATATCTCCTCCCCAGCACAATCTAGAGAAATCAGAAGTTTAAGAAACACTTTAAGTGGCTCCATAAACTCAAGCAGTACTGGTGGGTGAGGATAAAAAGGGAAGAATTCAAATGCATGGTCTCTAACCTCATGGGGCTGGTTGTCCCAGGCCAACGGGAGAGAGAACGTTCTTGGAGAAGCAACACAGACAGAACTGAATCAAATGAAAAGTGGAGTGCTATGAACTCAAGACGTGAATGCTGGGTTTGAGGAAGGAATCTGGGAATATACCCAGAAAATGAGCTTGAAACGGGGTCTGGGAAAGAGGACTTACGGGGATTGTTGGGGAAGGGAGCATGTTTCTCGGGTGAGCTACAGCAGGAACAAAAACACGAGTTTGAAATTCCTCCTTGGGGACATGGTGCCTATTGACGTGGCCAGCAAAGCGAAGCCACGGTGGAGAGAAATGGAAGAGAAAGCTGGAGAGAGAGAACCAGCTGATACAAGTCTTTGAATACTACAGTCCGGCACCAGGAGGGTTCACAAAGAATGACATCAGCACGGACGTGCTAGCTAGCCTAACAAAAAGTAGAGACGGTGGAAAGACTACCTCATGCATCAAAGGTTCTCTGCCTAAATTATTTTTGATCTATTGGCACATCTTTTATGATCTACTAAAAAATTAAATTTTTCATTCATCTATTGTATTCAACAAGCACTAGTTGCAAGCTGGGGTTATTAATGATGTCAGATCTTATATTGCTAAAACAAATGCACGAAGGTTTCTTTTCTGATGACAAAAAGAGAGTCATTTGTTTCAATCATGGAGGACAATCTTATTAAACATCGCCAACTCACTGCCAAGCTGGCTGGTCACCGACGCACGGCTGGAGAACAAATGGAATACAGAGGACTGTCCATCTTCAGACAGTGTCACTGCCCCCAAAATAATAAACTTAAGGGGAGATAAATCCGTTATGACTTGAACACTTTTGCTTCTTAACTCTGGAGTCTTCAAGTTCAGCATTTTCATAATCCTTTCATGCAGCAATGACGCTGTTTGCCAAATGCCGGTGAGCAGGGCTAACATGGTCTTACCTGCACAGGGACCTCGTATGTACTCAGATACAACTGACTCACCCTTGCAGGAAAGTAGTTTAATAAAATAATTTAAAAGCCTTAAAAAATGTCTGTGACCTTTGCCCCAATAACTCTCCTTCTCAGTCTAAGGAAATAATGTGGAAGACAGAAAAGGCATCATGCTTAAGAGTGCCCATCATATTGTTGCTTTTAATGGGAAAAAAAAGAGCCAATCCATTTCCAACAGAAGGGGCCTGATTTAATGAAGTATGCTCCAGGTATGGAAAGAAATGTTTATGGCATAATGTCACATATATACTATGCCCTATATACTATGATTTCAAATACACAAACAAGGTTTCCAGAATGAAGAATAGATAACTGTGTCAAAATTTTGACAATGTTTTTTTTTTTTTTTGAGTGTTGAGATTTTTATGTACCTGTTAATTTTCTTCTTTGTTCTTTTCTGTATTTTAAATTTTTTCTCAATGATCACACATTACTTTGGAAAGTAAATAGACCTCACAAAACATATCTGCACAGGTTCATCCTGGCAGGTCTGCGAACTTGGAGGCACCCGGAAGAAAGAAGGACAAAGATGAGGATGGAAAACAAGAAGCGAGGGTAGTTCCTCTGTATCAGAAAGATAAATGTGCTCCAAGCTCACCAAGAGGAGCTTGGGAGGGAACAAGGCTGGGGTTAGGGAGCTTCCAGGGTCCCACAGCAGGCCTTGAGGTAGGAGAGATAAAATAATAAAAACACCAGTTAGTTTGGGAGGACCCACACACACACAAAAAAGAGGGAGTTCTCTTCCAATTCTTGTTTGAATTTAAGAAGACCACTCGGAAGGGGGCCCAGAGGTAAAATGAGGTGGTCCCAGTAAAGCAAAAATGTCAGAGTGAGGTCTGGAGGCCCTGAATTAACCCCCAGCCCAGATCTCCACAGCCTGAGCAGCAAGGCATGGAAAGATCCAGAAGTTCCCATGATCTTCAGGGGTGAACAGACCAACAGACTGAAGAGGCCCAGAGTTAGGACAAGCAGAGTCCAAGTAATAACACCAGTGACTGAATGGTCCTGGCACGAACCTCAGACAAGGGCAGCAGGTGCCGGCACACACCCAAGACCAGAAGGGTCCACTGGGTTTTGTGTATTTGTCCCCCTTAAATCTCAAGCACACAGAGTTAAGTTAATTCTACTCCTGGTTGACGGCATACCATGACTTACTGGTGCACGCCCATTGGTAGTTTGTGACTGATTGATCAGTTGCCTTTTATTCCCATTCCCTTAACCATTTCTCTCTGCCCCTCTCTCTCTCACATTGGCAGTCACCCCATTGTGTTTAACTAATTTGGGTGTATTCGTGAGATCCATAGTTTCCATTTATGTAAATGGTAGCACGCTAAAGTTGAGGTTCTGTTCCTCCTTTCTCCACTCAGCTCTCTGTTTTTAAGGTCTATTCGTTCTGATATGAGCATGCCTAGTTAGGTATCTGCATAGCATTCCCTGATTTATTACACACCCCTCCAGCAACACACCCCTTAGCCGTGGTCAACTCCAGCACGCACACTTCTGCAATGGATATTCTTTTGCATGTTTTCTTACGGACCCCAACGAGAACCCTCTGATGTTTATCACCTGGAATGGAATTTCTGGATCAAAGGAGACATACCTGCTCAACCTGACCAAGGATTGCTCCTTGCTTTTAAACATGGCTTCGTGAGTCTTCACGTCTATCATTGACACTTAGGAGTTGCAGTTTCCAGCATTTTCAGCCACGTGCCCACAACTCCGCAAGGTGGCATCCACTCTAGCCCCTTCTGCTTGGCCAAGTCTTTGTTCTGCTGCATCACATCTCTACTTCTCCTGCCCATCCCTGCATCCGTCCCACTCTCTTCCCAGGTGTTCATTCCTAATAAACACCTTAAACCCATCTCTGCCTCAACGTCTGCTCAGCGTCTGCCCTGACAGAGCACGGCCAGCAACACCACTCACCTGCCTCGTTTTGCCAACCTGCTGCTCAGAAAACGGCAGCTCGTTGTTTTAATCTTCATTTCTCTGCTTCCTAATGAGTGGGAACATTTTATCAATACACCTAATAAATGCTAGTTGTTCAGTTATCCCTGCTTCTAAATTGATTTGTTATACCCATTTTTTTCTAAAACTCCTTGACATTTTTTTGTCACTATGCAAGAATTTCTTGCTCACCCTGCATGTCTTTTTTTTACATACACGTACATTAAAAAAGTGAATTGATGACTACAGCAAGCAAAGAACACTATATAAACCTTTCTGATTTGATGTGTCACAAATATCTTCTCCCATGCTGCCATCTGACTGTTAACTTTGACTGTATGAGGTCCTACAATGAATCAAAATTCTTGGCTTTAATGTAATGAAATGTACCAAGTTTTTATTTTTTAAAAAATATTGAGGTCTTGCATAAGTCTTCTCTTACCTCTGAGTCACACAGATATTCTTCTGCATTTTCTCCCTCCTATTATCTTTATAATACTCCCTTGTATATTTAGGTTTTTAATTTATCTGGAGCCTATCTTTGTACATGGTAGTGCGTAAGGTTGGGATTCCATTTTATTTTCATTCATGCAGAGAGGAAGTTTTCTTAGTAGCAGTAAAGGAAAAATTAGTGATACCATTGTGCAGGGAGGGGGAGGAGAGGTGGGCAAGGGGAAGCAGTCACTGGCAAAGGCATATTATTTAGAGATATGGAGTTGACCATCAGAAAACTAAAAGTAGCTAAAAACAGCAGCAGCTCAAGGCAAAGGTCCCCAGGGGTGGCAGAGGGGAGAAGTTGGGGGTGGGGAGGTGGTGAGGGAGGGACAGGAATTTTTGCTTGTCATGTGAGTCCTTTTCTTCCTATTATTGCTTCAACGACTTTTCATTATTCTGGTATGCTAAACTTTTAAAAAGCCATACTGGTTATGAAAGCTTCTCAAGCAGACTCTGATTTCTTAAGTCAGAGATCCAGCCAAGTTCTACTTATTTCTCACCCACCCATTGCACTTCTTTCTTTCGGAATGACTTCCCAAAGGCCTATGTTGCCCTAGACACTCTTGATGACACCTTAGGAAGTCAGTCCGATAGGGGCAGTGTACAGATGGTCCCCAGGGGCAGGGAAACCACAGAGCCAGAGGAGATGGGGTTTGCAGGGGAGACGGGGTTTGCAGAGGGGCTATGAGGCCCCTTTCTCGTTTTCCCACAGCAGATGCATTCTTGCTGAATAGAGCAGAGCACTTCCTTAAGTTACTCCCCAATAATTAAGTATGGGCTACTCTAATCCCCCCAAATAGTGTTTTTGAAAATAACACTGACTACTATTTAGCAAGTCAAAATAACCCAGCGCTGCCATATACAGCTGTGTAGGGTCTGTATGTTAAGGTCTTAAAAATACTCTAAGACTGTGTTTCTGGAAGAGGCATCAGTGTGTTTTGCAAAGAGCACTGGACCAATAATCAAGAGAGCTGAATTTTGGCCACTGGCCGTGACCTTGAACCAGCTCTCCACCTCTGTGAGTTTCAATTTCCTCTAAGCAAGTGGGTTGCTAGATAGTAGTTTCTACTAACCCTGCCCATTTTAACAGCCTGTGTTATATTCCTAGAGAATCCCATGGTACCAAAATATCTAAGAAATGCATTTTGAACCCCACAAGTGAATTTCACTAACATTGTCTACCAGGCAAAAAAACTTGACTTTTAAAAATATGCCCTTTAAATAACATTCGTTGGTTGGTAAATAACTGAAATAATTTCAAAATCTATTAAGTGCACATTGTGATCCAACAGGGCTTCTATGTGCTCTACTTAGGAAAAGATTAATTCGTAAATTTTTAATGGTTATTAGACATTTATACCATCGCCAGTTCATTAGAGGAATGTATCGAGGACTTTATGATTGCTCAAAGTTTTGTTGTCAGCCCAAATATTTGACGTTCTGCAAGGTGAGACAGCGTCTCTGTGGGCAAACTCCCCCGCGTGTGCACACAGCACTCCATCAGAGTCGTATAAGCAACCTTGCCCATTTCTTACCGAGCAAGCCAGGTGACAGCTTCTCTAAGCCCTTGTCAGACCCACCTGGAAAATTCGCACACCTTAGTGATCGAACTTTCCGCTCCTGGCTAAAAAAAGACAGGAGATAAAAGGTTTGTTTTCTCTGTAGTTAACAACAATAACAACAAAAAGATATGGCTTTTTCCACCCTACAATCTCCCTGTTAGGGGATGTGGTTTCTGTCCCAGAGTACATCTGAATGGATGATTGGCTATTTCTGTATATCCGTGTATTACTACTTTTCTACAATAAAAGGAAAACACAATACTATTGGATTACTGACCATATCTAATTAAGCAGACTCCCAGGTGTGGGCATTTAGGTCATTCCAGCTTTATATTGGTATAAGCAACCTAAGGATGATGAAACCAAAAACCCAACTCAGACACAGTCACAAGGAGAATCCTTCCAATCCAAATGAATGAGCCTTTTGTCATCGTCATTGTGTATACCACACTGCTGTTCTAGAGCCAGAATGGAGAACTGGAGTTCTTTAGAGATGAAGAGAAGGAACAAAAAGAGGGGGGCCCTGTGTGGTTCAGAGTGGGACACAAACCTGAGAAGAAAGGGAGGATCCCCTAAAAATGGGTGCAGCAACCTGCGCTCTCCCTTTCTCCCCTCTTGTCCTTTCTGCTTCTTGGCCTGCTCCCGGTCTCAGCGTGGGACCCCACAGACTCGCACCAGACTGCCACCTGGCCTGCCTGGAGCCCCCTGTGGGTGCCAGTCACCCTCAGTCGGCAGATCCACTGGCTCCTTCTCAACCTTTGCCCGTCAGCCCCTGTGCAGTAGCGGTAGGTAACAATATAAAGCTCACTTGCCTTCTGAATTTGAGTCCTCTTCTGGCTTCTGGGGTAACTCTTTCTGAGGCCACTCTTCCCTCTGCCCATAACCAGATGCTGCCGTTCACCAAGGTGTCTTCCCTGACTTCCTTAACAGATTTTTCCAGGGGAAATTTCATCTTCCGCAGGGCGAACTACAACTCACATCATGATGATTCTGACAGGACTCTCTATAAGAGAGTTCCAGAACAAAATTTTCAGTTTCCAATTGTATGCTCTCCATCTTGCATTTTAAAAAAGTAATTACATTCCTTCCTCCCCTGATTCCACTAAAAAGAAAAAAAAAAAAAAAACTTTGATCCCTTTTCTAAGTTCCTTCAGTTAGTGTGACCATATTGTGCCATTCATTGGGGTTTGAAATCTCATAGCCCTTCTTTTTTCCTGTATCTAATCAGTCAACAACTCCTATCAATTCTATTTCCTTAAAAGAGTCAAATTTTGATTGTTTGAGGCTGAATTAAGCATGGTTACAGCTGAGCGTGAGCAGGGACCCCTTTCTTTCTCCAGCTGAGAGCACTTGCTGTTGGCTGACGGCCAAGCTGGGAAGCAAAACCCAGGAAGCAGAAGAGCCACCCCTGACATCAGCAGGGAGGACAGACAGGAGCTCCTGGTGGCCTTCCTTTCTCCACCTCCTGCCCCACGCCCAGTGGCATTTACTCCCAAGACGTGACCCATCCCCAAAGTGGACAACTAGCATCTGTCAGCTAACTGGGAGCATCTCTCCTCTGTGTCCCAACACTAGAAAACCAAGAGATGGCTGTAGCTTTGATTTAATTGTCCTTAGGAATTAATATCTTCTCCATCACTACTAATTTCTCCCAATTAACAGAGTATGGAATATAATTCTAAAACATTTCATCTCCCTCTCCTATGGAATATAATTCTAGAACATTTCATCTACCATAGCCCTAATTCAAATCTTCAGCATCTCTCCTCCAAATGATTGAATAGTCTATAGATTTTATGTAGAGTCCATTACAATTCAGCCCCCACCTTGAATCTTCTCAATATATACCCTTGATCACATTGTTGCTCTATTAAAAGCTTCAATGGTCAAGTACAGAACATTGTTTATGTACAACTTAAAATGCTAACATTCCTCGTATAACAAGTTCTTGCTTATTCACAATCTGTTTGGAGTAAAACAAACACACACACACACACACAAATGAACAAATTGTCAGTAACCCAAGTATCCACCAAGAAGGAAATTGTAGTATGTATATAATATGGAATAATAGGCAGTCATTTGAAAAAATGTGATGATGGCATACAAAGATATACTCCATTTATATAACTTATTTTTGTATTTTATAGGCAAACAAACATTTGGGAAGAACACACACCAAACAGTTATAACCTATGACCACCTAAGGAGTGAGATTGAGGGGGAAAGAGGTCTTTTATGTTTACTTTGTTATTATTTTATAAGCTTCTGTGTTATTAAAATGTGTTACAGCATGCAATTATTATTTTTTAATATCTCAAGCCAGTAAAAATTATATAAATACACTTAACTGAAGGCTTCATCTAGAAATTATCATTATGTTTTTATTTGGGGTACATTAATATGTGTTAAGTATAAACCTAAAATTTAACAATATAATGTACTCACTAGACTATGTACCCATCAAAGGCAGAGTCTTTAGTCAATTCAATTTTGTAATTTCTCCGAACGCTTTACATAATACCTAGCATATATTAGAAGACGGGAGGGTATATAAAATTTACTACAAATTTTTCCCAGTTAATGGAACATGATGAAGCATGGACTGTGAATCTAGAATCATTCCTTTATTGCAGTGCAAAGACCATATATATGACTATAGTTTTGCATATTTGCATACTCAAACATATACACAACTGAATGGGAAAATAATCTGCATTTTGTTATTGTTCTGACAAGCTTGTCTTGATTAATGCTGTGGGAATTCTAAATCGCCAAGTGTTTCAAAAAGAGGAAGAGGCCAGGAAAAGTGCCTTGCACCTGTAATCCCAGCGCTTTGGGAGACTAGGAGTTGGAGCCTGGGCAACATAGAGAGACCTCATCTCCACAAAAATAAAAATTAAAAAAGGTGTGGTTGTGCGCACCTGTGGTCCCAGCTACTTGGGAGGTTGAGGCAGGAGGATCACCTGAGTCCAGGAGTTCAAGGCTGCAATGAACTATGATTGCGCCACTGCACTCCAGCCTGGGTGACAAAAAAGGACAAGAGCCATTCAATAGGGAATAGATAATTAAGCTTTGGAACAATGGGCACAGGCTGGCATTTACTGGTTCACATGTGAGTTGGGGACATTTGGGAATCAAACACATCAACAGGAAGTCCCTTTCCTGTGCAGCTGACATTAGGGAGCTCCACCCCACACTGAGAGAGGGTCCTCACAATCTTTGGGGGGTAAGGAAACAGATTCCAAGTCCCAACCAACCTGGCTGGAAAGGGAGTGGTGGTTGACTTTATATACATGTCTCCAAAACCCTGCTCGGTGAATAACAAGCATTAGCTGGTGTTTAACTAAATATTTTAAATCTTACACACGCTAAAGCAATCACCATAGAAAGGAACAAAGAAAAGCAAGCTCAGCCTTTGCCCCATGGCACTCAATTTTTCTCCCAAAGCCCAGGTAGCTGAGAGGTGGAAAGTCTAGAAACAGAATCGAACATGTCTAATCTCTTTTATAACAATGTTCTTATTTTAACCCATGTCATCAGGGGAAATGGCTGAAAATAGTGACAAATACAACATCAATAAACATAATAATAATTGATTTTCCAGAGATGAAAAATTTGAAATTAGTGGCCATTTCCCCCCAGAGCACTGGTTGATTAATTTAATGTTCATCTTAGTCTTTCAAAGACATCCTCTTACTGCTGATCTGCTCTGCCAGACTTTGTGATGGGTTTTGTGGTTTAGGAGCTGGTGGTTAAAGTATATTGCACAGTTCTGCAGTTTTAAAGAGAATCCTCGTAAGTTTAAGGATGGCTGCAGCCAGGAGCAGCAAGAACGAAAGTTTAGATACGTAAAGCCATTAAGTTTCCAGAGATTGGAACTTGGGTTTGTCATACAGGAAATATGTTCGGTGACTGTATTAACATTTTTCTAGCTTAAATGTTCAAGAAACAGATTAAGACTACCTAAATCTCACTGAAAGCGAGCCCAACTTTCACTAAATTAATTCAGAAATCTCAACATGGAACAAGATGAGATTCAAGTGTCCTTCCTTCCTTCCTCCTCCCTTCCCTCCTTTCCTTCTTCCTTCCTTCCGTCCTTTTTTATTTCTCTTTTTCTCCTCTTCTCTCCCTACCCCCTTTTCCTCTTTCTTTCTTTCTTCTATAACTCTAAAACAATAAGAAATCATCTCTAAACCATTTCAAAGCTTGATATTCATATTTATCCTTGGTGAAAAGTGAAGGAAATATTACTACTTTCTTTCTTACGGATAAGTGAAGCAAGGTACAGTGACTTTCCGAGACTCTGTAGTGGCTGAATAAACAACCCAGAAAACCAGGTTGAACCTTCCAAGCTCCAGGTCAGCACTCTTTCTACAAGCCGCTAGCCACGAGCACGTCAGGGAGAACCCCGGCCAATGCCATCGGTAACAGCTCCGTGCAGTGCCCCGGAAGCAGATCCACTCCTGCATGGAGCCTCCCGTCTGGGTGTGCAGAGACACCGTCACCACTCATCCCAAATGGCACATCACTCAGAAATATCTCCTTTATCATTTTGAACATGTAAAAGTAAACTGGCTTCCACATTTTGGGGGGCTAGGAATTTATCAGACCTTTTCATCAGACTTTACCTGCACAGGTGAGCCTAAACCTGTGCTTTGGAAATGTTTGACAGGGCCCCTGGCACTGGCTGCCTGGTCCCTTTCCTTTAAAGGTGCCCTTACCATTTATTTTAACCGTCCACTTCCGAGGGCCATTGCTGGGCTGTGTAATTTGTCTTGTTTTGAACCCCCACACACCCAGCCTAGTCTCCTCGTCCCCTGGACAATCTATCGTCGGACAGTGGCTTCCACTCCTCCCAAATGCGTGCACTCTGACTTCACTCTCATCCTCCTTTCTGCCCCTTCCAGCGTCCCCACAATTGTACCCATAAGATATATGCTTTCTGCAGCATATCAGAAACAAAGGGGAGAAAATCTCTTCCTTTCTCGTCCTAACTTCTGTCTTCCCGAGCTGCCGAGGCAGAGCGATGCCGGGAACATAAGGAAGTCACACGAAGGCGAATTGAGTTAGAGCAGCGGACACAGCCCGTGTCACCGAGTCACCGCACCCGGCACAGGCCCCATTTATAACCTGGTCTTTAACTTTGTTTATCTTCGTGGACATCTGCAGGAGCATCTCGCTTTCCAGAAGTTGGGGTCCTGGAATCATTACTTGTCTTGGGAGAAAACGAGATTACGACCCTTTAATTCCGCTTCTGAGAAAGTCCCCGCTGTAATAATGGATCACTCTCCACTGACCCTCCTCCCCTGGTGGGGTGGGGGGTCCGCTGGGTCTTCATCATTCCCCCTTGGCCTTGGCACTGCAGGCAACCAATCGAGGTGGGATCCTC